GGGCTGCACCAAGGGGAACTGACACGTCAAAATTTTGACGCAGGGGAACTGAGGCTCCTTAACGCACCCGTGGGGACGGTGTTTAACGCCACTTGGGCGTCAAAAGCGGGTTGACCCCTCCCCCCCCATTTCCATTGCTCTTAGTACATGATGTGCGCTGTCCAAAGATTATTAAGACCTGGAAAGCATCGAATAAAAACAAACTTACCATCATAAACTGAACAATGCTTACCTGAAAGAATTGAACTACGGAGTATTTCACATCTCTCTCATTTGCCCAGAGCGTTAACCCAAATCTCCCCAATTTAAAAGAAAAAAAAACGCAGATTATTTATCTCTGTATGTACAAAGAGCTCTTAAATTCTCTTGCCCCCCACTTATCTATCCCATAGAAACCCCAAAATTCTGCTTATGAAGTAGGGATTCAAAACAAAACACAAAAAAAAAAAAAAAATTGAACAAATGAAAAGTTTTATAAAGCAATGAAACAACGTGAGCTACCACGAGAAGGGCACCATGGGACCATCATCACCTCGGTCGAGGCGGCGAAGGAAACGAACGCGCCTGCCGGAGCGACGGCTGCGAGCTGCCTGAAGCCATATTCTGTGACCGGTTGATCATTTGAACCATATACGGCGTCTTGTAAGCCAACACAAGACTGGTGCTCTCCGTGGAGTCGCCCCTCGCCGTCGCCCTCTGCCACGAGTGCGAACTCAACCCCGACAGCACGTAGGCCCTTCCCGACGCTTCGTAAGTCGGGCGGTTCGCCATCCTCACTTGCATTTCCCTCAGCTCTGCGTCCAGCCCGACGCACAGCCTGTCCCCTGCCCGGGCTGACGCCGTCTCCGCCAGATGCTTTCTCGCGTGCTCCACCACCCCCACCGCCACCGCCAACTCCCCGCGATCTGCCGCCGCCTTGGCTGCCGCCATGGCCTCCGCAGCCCGGAGTCGGTTCCGTTGCTTATCCACCTCCATCGACACCTCCTTTTGTTCCGCCGAGACCGGCCGCCCGATTGTGACGAAAGAAGCCTCGTCCATTGTCACCGCGTTCTTTGAAACCGGGTCCTTGTAAATGCACTTCATCCTCAGGAGGTCCATCGCGTCCCTCCTCGCGACGGGTATGTCTAATGTCACCAGAAAATCCCTTTCCTCTTCGGCGTACAAATCGCCAACCTCTATAATGCCTCCCCTTCTGTTATGTTTCAATGAATTTTTGTAGCTTCCGGATATTATCGACCGGAGTTCCAATGTGGGGTCCTCGCATTCGACTTCCATATGGAGATCCTGAACCACGACGCTCAGAAGCCCGCCGATGCATTGGGCAAAGGCGTCTTGTATCACTCCTTCCGCTTCTATGAAAGAAAACGTTCCTCCTGAACTTTCCGAGATGGAGTGCATGGCAATGGCGTCATGGTCGGAGCCGAACCCGAACGTGTGGACCGGAATGTGAAGAGCGCCCGATCCGCGTCGCATCGAGGCCGGGAGTAAAGACTGGTAGCCCGTGTCGGAATTGGTTCCGTAGGGGTTGTTGAGGGTGTAGGTGTCCTGCCCGTCAGAGAGAAGTATTATACTGTTGACCGGGTTCTTTGACCTTCGGTTCGTCATGACCTGGGCGCCCTTCATTAGGGCATCGGCAATGTTGGTCCCGCCGTTGCAAGTGAGGGAGTTCACAGCTTGTAACGCTTCGCGCCTGCCTGAATCGGTCATCTTGAGGAGGGGAAAGAGGCGTCGGGCGGACGAGGAGAACGCAATGACCGAGAGCCTATCAGACGGGCCGAGGTGTTGGATCACAAACCCCATCGCACGTTTCAGCAAAGCGAGCTTGGTGCCCGCCATGCTGCCGCTAACGTCAAGAACAGTAACGAGATCGACCGGGGCCCGGGAATTCCGAGTCACCAGACAGTCGCCCTGGGAATTCGGGTGCCCTTCGGCCCGCGGGGCTTTGAGATGAATCAGAACAGCAAAATCCTTATGAACCGCCGATTGTGAGACGTCGGGTAACTCCGGATATGTCGTGACACCTAACATGCCCATAGAATGAGGGGGCGCACTCGCCACATCAGCACGCAATAACAGTTCCGGGTCGACAAGCTCATCATCATCAAAGACGCTCGTGGGGTCCACGAGAGGGAGCGGCGACGAATTGCGTGCATTTGAGGATTCAAGATGGGAAGACGAACGCCTGAGTGAGGTGAGCAGAGCATCATAATGGGGCCAATAGGAGCGAGGAGGATTGGTCCTCGCTCTTTCAAGGGAAATCTCCGGCAGGGGAGAGGTCTGGAAAGGGATCTCTTTCCATTTCGCTCTGCAAACCGGGCAGATCTGGTTTCCATGCCTCACATTGGAGGTTATGCACTGGAAATGGAAGGAGTGAGAGCACTCTGCAGTGAAAATGGCATGCCCTTGCCCTGGTTTCATACTTTTCAAGCATATTGCACACGTCCTCTGTAAAATTACCACAAAACAAGAGGGGAAAAAAAAAAGTTACAGCCTTTCAAGAAGTAAAAAAATCACAACTTTTTTTTTAATTTCAATTACCCATTTTTTGCTTTAGTGAACAGAAGAAGTCTACCAAGGAAAGCTCTCATTCAACATTCCACATGCTTTTTTCTTGGCATATTATCATGAAAAGGAGAGATGGGATGGCCAAATGAGCATTGTCTTGTGTATTTGTGATATTGCTGACCAGGAGAAGCACTTTCCCCTCCAAGTAATGGAAGCAATAGAAAAAAAGAAAACCAAAAGATAAACACTGCTGTTTCCTTTTTACAATTAGGCCAGTGGACCACAATAGTCCTTGACTCCTTACTTTAATCACAACATATTTCAACCTTTTATATACTCCCCCGTCCCCAAAAAAAATTCTCACTTTTCTTTTTCGTCTGTCCCAAAATTGATTTCTAATGTTTTTTATTCCTATAAAAGGAAAGCATTATGTGGTTTACAACAATTCTCTCTCCTCTTAACATTGTTCACTTTTCAACATTTTTCTTAAATTTTGTCAAGTCAAACCGTAAGTTTCACTCTTCAACAGTTTTTTACTTTTTACTTTTCACCTTTGATTTAGGGACAAAAGGAGTACATATGTGTGTGTGATTCACAAATTGTTGAGCGGTAAATTATGGTGACTCGACGTCGACGACCTATTAGGTAAATTGTCCGTTTGCACTAAAGGTTGGAAACTCCCAACGTGACGAAAGAGAGTAAACTTTCAAAATGTAGCGCAGTTGTTTCCCGATTGGCAAATTGTTTTCCGGTACTCACAAAGAGTCTACCCCCACACTCTACCACCCGGCTCAATCTCGTGTCATTATTCACAATTCGCCAACCCGGAAACAACTACACTACTCTTTAAAAGCATATACTCCTCAGTTCCGCCATGAGTTTCCAACCTTTAGTACAAATGGACAATTTGCACTAAAGGTTAAAATTTCAAGCGGGACTGAAGGAGTAAGTAAACCTAAGAGGATCACCACCATATACTACACCTACCACCACCCACCCACCCACCCACCCAACCACGACAGCCTGAGGAGTGGGTTGGGGGCAAAGCCTACCCCACGTGACAGAGATGCAAGAGATCAATGGGAGTAAAAGACCATCTTTCTCTAAAGGGAATTGATAATTCAAAGGGTACAGCATGTGTATATATCATATCATCTTAAAAGCAAATAAAGAATTCAAAAAAAACATCTCACCCTTTAGAATCTATCAATGTAGATTCATCATTAAGATAAAGATCACATTTTTACACAAGAAATTCTACCCAAGGATTCTAATAAATCATTGAACCAGAGAAGATATTTAATAAACAATAATTATTATGCCAGAAAAATCAAATCCAATAACTGACCTTAGAAGATTTAGCGCCGTGTTTGGACAAACGGAGGCCGGAGGAGGAGGGGGTAGGGGTGGTGGGCATGGAGACCCGCGAATCGGAGCTCTGGGTCGGGTCGGGTGAGAGCCAAACCGCATCGGAAACCCTGGCGGCGGGCGGCGGCGGAGCTGAAGCCGGCTCTTCCTCTTCTTCTTCTCGCGTTTTGGGAACGTAGAGACACATATTCAATCCGAGAGCCATCTTCGCCTTCCTCCATTTGCTCCCCATTCTTTTCTTTCCTTCTTCCTCAAAAGCTCTGCAAATTCCTCAGATCTCGAACAACATTTGCTGTCTCAATAAAAAGAATCAGATCTTGTTCTTCTTCTGATGAAGAAATTGGGGTCGTTTTCAATTAGAGGGGTCCGTTGGGATAAATGGCTAATTTGTCGAAACCGATGTCTGGTGTTGTTAATGGTTCATTGAAGAGCAACGGGCTACCCAACCCGCATTGATGAGAAAGAGAGTGTTTTTATAATTGGGGTGGGGGGAGGGGCGAAATCGGGAATTGAAGGGAAATTATAGTGGCGCGTTTGGAAAGAGTAGAAAAAAAACTGGTGCGACAATTCATGCAATTCTTGAGATTTTCTTCGGGAACAGTTTGACCTGTTTTTGTGGGTACGTTTGAGATAGGATTGGACTTTGTAAATGAATATACTCCGTAAATTACTAGACTTTCATTAAGCTATGACTTTGCCTATCTCTCCTGCTTTTCTCATCCATAAATAAGTTACATTCTTCCATCCGCATGTAAATTTTTATAAGGTTGTGACTCTAAAAATACTTTTATTTATAAATTTATATAAAAATAAAAATTATATATTTAAAAAGTACTGGTGTAAATTATATATTACTTTATTATATCAAATGATCCATGAAAATATGCAAACAAAGTAAAGTTATCACACGATAGTGTAATGCTTCTAGTAAAAAGATAATTAGATAAATCATTCGGAGACGAAAGAAGTATTAGACTATATTGATATTTTTTTTTAGTACTTTTTTGTTCCATTTAATTACGAAGTGATTTTCATCCCCTAACCCCCCCCCCCAAAGTCCAACTCCAACTCGTCCCCACCCATCCCCTAATTGAACCCCCTCAAATTTGTTAACATCTTTGTCACAATTGTACGTCAAGCCAAATGTCAACCAATTAGGAGGTTATATTTTACTTTTTCCATCACAAATTAAGTTTCCATTTTAATATTCATAGAGTAACATTTCATTTACTTTCTAACTTCAACCAAATATTATAAAACGAAATAAGCGACTCAAATTCGGATGAAGGGAGTATGTCTTTTTATTCTGACACGCCCTCTCACGTGCAGACGTGGTCATTTTGAGCCTTGCACGTGAAATCTTAGTTTTTTTAACTGTGTGGCGCAGAGTTTTCAACCCGTGACTTCCTCGTCAACAAGATTTTGATATCTTGTCAATAAAAAATTAAAACTTAACCAAAAGCTCAAGTTTGTAGTTGTGGCGAGGAAGTGTATTTATACTCTAGTAGTATATTTTTATATTCTAACACATGATTAAACATTTGAATTTGTATACATTTTGACTTCAAGATTCTTTCAACATAGAGGTGAGAATTACGTTACGAATATATTGTTCACGATATATTTTGTATTGTCAATAACGTGGAATGGACCATTATTTTGCATGATTTTTGCACTAGTTTTACGATACGTTACACGGTAGAGACAGATATCCCTTTTAAAAGGTTATGGCCGGTGTTTGGTCACAATTGGAGTTGGTTTACTAATTGTTTTTGTTTGAGTGATTATGTTGAGACTTGAGAGTGAAAGTTTAACACACAAAAATGCTTCACGAACTTCCATCCTTTATTAGCTTGAATTGAGATGCTTGTAATAGTTCCTTGTGCGCATCAGCCACGTGGCGGCTTCTCTACGAATCAGATTGAGATTATACCATAATTTTACCCTCCTTACAATCATATCGGGTCGAGGTGTGGGGACGCCCGAGGTGAGCGTTCCACCTTTTTTTATTCAGATGTTTGAGTTTGTGAGAGGCAAGGAGTTTGTGCGTGAATGCCGTGAAACACATGTAATTAAACTCATTATCTGTATAATCTAGAAGAGTAAATTTTATATATATATATATATATATATATATATATATATATATATATATATATATACTCTTTATAACAAGAGGTTTTTCATTTTTAGTCATCAATTAATAAATATTATCCTCGTGCAGACGTGGTTATCTATTAAAAATTACTCATCGTTGGATAGAGTTTAATTATACGATCGCAACGGTGCAAATGGATTTCAATTCGGAGAATATTGGACCAAAAGGTGTACCCCGACTCGGACCAAATTAGTCCCAATCAGTGAGTAACATGTTGAATCTCCTTAAGTCGCACTATCGCCGAACGAGGATCATGAAATGGGAATCCTACGCAGCACCATCTCATCTTCCCTATCTTCTTCTCTTCTCTTCTCCTATATAAAGAACTAAGTTCTTCACCATTCTTCTTCCATAATAGAGCTCTAAGTGTGAGGTGGGTCGCTGGAATTTTGCTTTAGCCCGTTTTGGAATGATGGGGTTGGGCAGCAGAAATTTGGGACAGTCTAAGGGGCTGTTTGTTTCAGCCTCTTAATGGTTCAGATGTCTGAATGGTTCAGCACTTAATGGTTCAGACTGTTTGTTTCAGCCTCTTAATGGTTCAGATGTCTGAATGGTTCAGACATTTGCCTCTGAATGGTCAAGTATTATACAGAGTCTGAATGGTTAAGACCTCTTATCTGAATTGATCAGACATTTGCCTCTGAATAGTTAAGCAATATACTAGCTCTTAATGGTTCAGACCTCTTACTGGTTCAGCACTTAATGGTTCAGACCTCTTACTGGTTCAGCACTTACCTATTCAGAAGTTGTCAAACATCCCCTAAGTATGGGGTGGGGACGTGGGGTACGTAGGGTGGAGGGGTATTTTGGAGAAGTGAATGCAAATTTCAAATTTAATTAAATTTTGTATCCAGTGAAAGTGGGGACATTAAAATTGGATGGAGGGAGTAATTACTAACACGTAGCAAAATTACTATACGGTTAAATTATGTTAGGATTTAAGTCAATGTTACATACAATTAAATAATAATTACTATAATAATGTCACATACAATTAAATAATACTCCCTCCGTCCGGAAATATTCTTCTCATTTTCCTTTTTGGTCCGTCCGGAAATATTCTTCCTATTTCCTTTTTTAGTATACTTTTTAAGGATAAATTTCAATAATACCCTTCTATTTTATTACTAATCTACTTTTTTAGTACTTTTTTAATAAGAAAAAGAAGATTTAAAAGTTTATAGTCTGTGTATTTTTTGAAAATTTTGCATTTTTTTATCATTCCTTAATAAACGTGCCAATTCAACACGGGAAGAATATTTCCGGACAGAGGGAGTATTTTTTATTTGAAATATAATAATAATAAAAATAGTAGATAGTAACTAAAAATATATTTAACCCTTTATTTTATCAAATAATCAATAAAAATATATAAATAAATAAAAGTTTTTGAATGACTAGAGAAGTAACTGATGCAGTTAATTAAAAACATGAACAATATTATTTAAATCAAAGTAACTAGTGGTATAACTAATATCCAACTTGATAGGTAAAACAAGTATCTGGTCTGAACATGAAAAGTGACGGATCAGATTATGACCGATCAAGAATCGATAGTGTTTGGGAAGACGCGGAAGCACTTGGGGAAAATGATCAGTCAGGTTTTCCCGAAGGGTGATCATGTTTTTGAAGGGGACGGGAATGGCGCGATCCGGTAACATGCGTGATGCAGCTATTCCATCCCGCCATCTTTGAGAGTTAATTGCGCAACAAAGATTCCATTCCATCATGAATGGCTTGAGCGGTGGCAAGACTGAAGCTCATCAATGACTAAATTGATGAGCATCGGGTCATAGGATTGTTTCCATGTATGGGCGTTGATTGACGCTAGGCCCACACCTGACTAGCAACTAGTTTCCTTAGTCTCATCCACTCTATATAAATAGATTGTAATAGAGGGAGGAATAGACACTCACTACTCCTCACTCAAACTTGTACACTTTTGAGTCAAAGTAAGAAATATAAGTTTAAGCACATGAATTTTTTCTTGCTCTAGGTCACGTTTCCTGTGTCCTTACTTTCTTGTGTATTTTTCTTACCGGTAGAGTTCGCTTGACTAGGTCAGACCCGACCAAACCTACGCGGTCAAATTTACACCATCACAACTACTCTACCCATTCCAAAAAGAATCTCACAATAACTATTTCGACATCTCAATGACTTTAATTAGTTTACTTATTTTCAGTGAGCATTTGATAAAATAAAATATTATTGTCGCATCTTGTTTTATAGAATTTTTGATGCATATACTTTTAAACGATACAATTTATACTTTTTAACTTCTCTATCAATTAGGGCTGGACACGGTACCGGTTCGGTACCGTCACCGGAAACGGTACCGCCGGTACCGAGCACCGTGACGACTACCGGGACGGCTTAACGGTTCCGAGAACCGGCACCGGTACCGCCACATCCGGTCTCGGTTCCGGTGCCCCAAAATCGTTACCAGCACCGCCGGTACCGGTGCCGGTTCCAGTACCGGTTATATTTTTTTTTTCTCCTTTTTGCTCTAATGCTCTCCAACGGAAACCTGCAAAAAAAACAAAGTTAGTGGGGGGGGGGGCCGGCCAAAACGGCTAATTGGCCCTGGGGAGGGGGGGACGGGAGGGGGGTTATTTTTTTTATAAATACCCATTTTTTCTTCTAAAAAAATCACACCCATCAATCCATATCCATCTCTCTTACTCTCTAATCTCTATTCTCTATTCTCTCATTCTCTCAAATTTCAATATCTCAATCTATCATTTTAATTTCTCAATCTTAATATCTTATTATCTCTTTTATACATTTTTTTAAATATATTATATTTTAATATAAAAAATTTCGAAATTATTTGAAATTTTCGAAATTTAATATTTCTTTAATATCAAAAAATATATAATATATATTTTAAATATATTCTCT